TTCAAACGTTCTGTATTCTTTTAGACAAACTGATGACACTGCATTTTTATGAACTATGTATTAGAATGATATTTAACGAGTTCATTTGCCCTGTCTTTTTTTTTCGTTTTTTACTCTTAACTTTGGGTAAAACAGTCTATGGGTAAAATGCAGAGCTCGTCACTGTCCCTTTTTACACAGCCGTCCAATCACAGTGGAGGAGGGGCGGGACAAACATTACATTAACCAGCCATGATCATACTTGTACAACACAACAATGGAGAAATTAATATTGCTGGTTACTGCATTTTTATATTTAGTAATATTCTTCAAAATAACATACTCATAACATGTTACTGCCGTGAATATTCCAAATCATAGCAAACAACGCGTCACTCCAGAAAAATGCAGTGCCTCCAAAGCTCTCTCATGCACCACCAGCTGGTCGTTTTCAGAAGAGCACCAGGCATTATGTAAGCTGGCTAAAAACGCTCTGGTGGACACGTTAATTTATTCATTTATTGTTAGGCATATAGCCTATTAGTCTCTTATGCATTTATGCTATATAACTTACCAAACCTTTGTCAGCTGGCTAAAAACGCTCTGGTGGACACACGTTAATTTATTCATTTATTGTTAGGCATATAGCCTATTAGTCTCTTATGCATTTATGCTATATAACTTTACCAAACCTGAGAATTGAGTCCAAGGATTCCACACCATTCCTAGATGCGTAATTTGCGTAGCTGTAATTCATAGGCGGGGAATATGCTAATTGTGAATTAGCGTGCATGCGCGCCCTTTTTTTCGAATGATTGGAATTCATTGATATACACACATTTAACTATCAAATCTGACCTTTACGAAGTATTTGTGAATCCGGATGAGAGTTTTCGCGAAGGTCCGTTTTACGCGTAAATTACTCAGAATTTACTCATATATTTACGAATGATTCATGAATGAGGCCCAATGTGTGCATCTGAGTGTTTTGATGCACAGTCATAACCGTTTTTAAAATTCTGTCCCTTATATGCAGCTGATATGGGTTTTGCACGGCTCTTCAACTCACCACTGAAGCCTTTAGCAGATCTGGATCCTGTAGTTGTTACGTTCTGGTACAGAGCACCAGAGCTGCTGCTGGGAGCCAGGCATTACACCAAAGCCATCGGTAAGATGTTTCTTTATGAGTGTGTGTGCACAAATGCAAATGTTTAAATGTGCATTTTAGATTTAATGACTTTCTCTTTTCTTCAGATATATGGGCGATTGGCTGTATCTTTGCTGAGCTTTTGACCTCAGAGCCTATCTTCCACTGTCGACAGGAGGACATTAAGACCAGTAATCCCTACCATCATGATCAGCTAGACCGGATCTTTAATGTCATGGGCTTTCCTGCAGGTATTCATCGTCCACTTGACACTTAAATCTAGATGATTCAGTGAAAACTTTGAGACTATGAGACTTTTGTTAGGAAAACGACTTTTTTGTTGTTTAAATATTTGTAAGGTATGTGTGTAAGGATGGAACTTAATAATTCTAGTTCCTCTAGGTCCTGATTCCTCTTAATGAGTTTATTTTGTACTTTTAAGGAAAACATATTTTGGGAGAAAATAAATGTAATTACATTTTCAAAGCCAAACAATGTTGTTATTGTTAACTAAAAGTAAAACTGTTAAAAATAATGTTAATTTTTAATATAATAAAAATAATTGAAATAAAATTAAATGGGGAGAAAACTTAAGTGAAAATTAGAAATGTTGTTTAGAAATGAAGTTTAAATGACTAAAGCTAAAACAAAACAAAAAAATTAAGCCAAATAGAAAAAAAAAGTGGGTTCACAGCGAATTATCAGAACTATTTCAGTAAAACAGTAATATTGTGCTTTACCTGGAAACCTAAAGCTGCACTAGGTATACATCACATATTAGCACAAAAAAAACTAGATATTTTGAGCACTCAATTGAAAATGTACACAACTAATCAATCGTACTTACAGGTTGTGCTTCGGAGAGCTTGTTTTATCATGCACTTTTTTGATTAACAACTTTGCAGACTGTTTAAATTGAAGGATAGCTACCTTACAAACTGCAAAAGAGATATTTTTCGAAAACCCATATGACCTGCTCTTTAAACTTAAGCTAAAATTAAAATGAAAACTAAATATAAAATTAAAAGCTAACTAAAAATATATATAAAAAAATATATATATAAATAATGTTAAAGTAACCCTGTTGTCAAATGAGTAATTGTTGTTTAAATATTTATGTTTGCAGTTACAGTTCAGCTGTTAAGTTAATAGTTCACAATGCTTCAGTTCATTCAATTGTCCTCCTGATAATCTTTGTAATCTAATTTTCTTCTCAGATAAAGACTGGGAGGACATTAAGAAGATGCCGGAACACTCTACGTTGATGAAAGACTTTAGGAGGAATACGTTAGTTTGATTTCATCTTTGACTGTAAAAATATCATACTAATTAGGCATTTCATTGACTAGGGTTTTTGATCTGATGGTGATTGTCTCTCTTGCTGTAGGTACACTAACTGCAGCCTTATAAAGTATATGGAGAAACATAAAGTCAAACCTGACAGCAAAGCATTCCACTTGGTAAGTGGGCGAATAGAATTGTAAATCTCATATATTCGTTCTCATAAATTCAGCTGTTAACTTATGAACTCCCTTTCAGCTGCAAAAGCTGCTTACTATGGACCCAATCCGCCGAATCACATCTGAGCAGGCCATGCAAGACCCGTACTTCCTGGAGGAGCCTTTACCCACGTCTGAGTGAGTGATTTTAAGCGCAAAATCAGCTTTCTGCATGAATTATTATAATTAGGATTTCTGTATTTTTTTTTAATATACAGCATGTACACTGAAATTAGGTCATCTGCAGAGCTATACTTACATAAGATGTTGTTTAAGAAATATTTTAAAAAGCTGTGTTTTGTTTAGTGTCTTCGCTGGCTGCCAGATTCCTTATCCCAAACGAGAATTCCTGACGGAAGAGGAGCCTGAAGACAAGGCAGATAAAGTAAGAAATGTGTGTTTTCTGCTTTTGAGTATTTCTGTGTTTGTGAATATATTTTTGACCATTTAATTTTTAATTTTTTACAATTATTTAAGAAACAAAATTTAGAGGCTTTTCTCAGCGTAATCGGTTAAGAAATTATTTGTGATTCGTTTGGTCTGTATCTTATGTAGTTAGATTACATTTTTAATTGAGAGCTGTGATATTTATCATTTTTATGAATTGCAATATTCTTTCTTTCTACAACTGCAGAAAAACCAGCAGCAGCAGCAGCAGGGGAACAACCACACCAATGGGGCGGGGCACACAGGTAACCCTGACAACAGCCATGCACAAGGCCCGCCTCTGAAGAAGGTGAGAGTGGTTCCGCCCACTACTACCTCAAGTGGCCTGATCATGACCTCAGATTACCAGGTAACACATGTAAACATAAACCTTTATCTTTGTTTTTTGTTTTTTTACAAACAGGCTTTAAAATGATCTTTCTATTGCCCATCAGCCACAATAGATGATGATTGTTAAATTTTTCCAGTCAGTTACCTAACTATTTTATTTCTTTATAATATACAATACCATTCAAAGGTTTGGGGTCCTAAGATTTTTTAAAATGTTTTTGAATAAAGCCTATTATGCTCAAAGCTGCATTAAAATACAATAAAAAATATTACTACAATTTAAAAGAACTTTTCTATTTTGCTGTATTTTAAAGTGTAATTTATTCCTTCAGAAATTATTCCAATATGCTGTTCTAATATTGCTGCTTAAGAAACATTTCTTATTGTTATCAGTGTTGAAAACTGTTGTGCTGCTTAATATATTTGTATATTATAGTATATTTTACTGTAACTTATTTAACGATTTAGTCAATATAAAAGTATAATTCCTTAAAGCTCAATTGAATTGTGTGTATGTGTGTGTGTGTGTATATATATATATATATTGTAACGGGGTGGAAGGAACACGCGACAAGGAGAGCTCAAATAAATACCCCGGAGGGTGGATTTATTCACAGAGAAAGTGCTCAAGTGAGTGCGCTGGGTCCTGAGGTGGGTGGAGGCTTCTCCGTGCGTGAGTCGGTGCTCACCGATAGGATTTTTTTTGGCCGATACCGATTTTAACAAACAACTACTGGCCAATACCGATATTGGTCATTTGCATAAAGGGGTTAAAAACCAGAAGAAAAAAAAATCGATCGGTTCACTCCGAGCAGAATTGGTATTTGAACGTTTCTGTTCCTGCGGCTCAAAAAGAAAAAAAAAACACGAGGGTCTTGATCTGGTAGCCTATCTTGTGCTTAGTCATAGCCAATACAGCATCATCTTTTCTAGATTTTGACCAAATGTATTAAACAAAAGAAAATACTGTCAACGCTTTAAAGAAATTAAAGTAGGCCTATTTTTTTCAAGATATTTAAAAATGTTTGCAGCATGGATACAAAAATGCTACTCCTATAAGCGTTTTGAGAGGAAAAAACAGCCTAAATTAGTAGGCTGTACGTCGCATTTTATTATTAATATATTATTATTATTTTATTATTATCATTCAGAAATAATGTAGGCTAAAACACCGGTAAATAAAGCAAAATATTTACAAACATTACAAACACAATTAGGCTATTTTAGTTCCCTTCTCTCCACAACAAATCCTCTAAAGTTGTAAGCCAAAGCGAATTAATTTAAAAGTGAAACTAAAGCCTACCTCTCTCATTCTGCACGAATCCACAGGTTTCCATATTCACGACGTATCTGGATGCTAAAATATGATTTATTATGTAAACTATAGGCTTTGTTCTTCACTCCCATTTTCGACATAAAACCTCATCCTTTACATAGGCTATATCAGCAGTGAGGCGCTGGTTATGCTGAACGGCACAGACTGTACTACGGAGTATTTAAATTGAGCAGTGTAACTTTTTATGTATCTTTAACTGTATTTTATTTTGATAATAAACAGGCTGCGATGTCAAGTTAGCAAAAATATGTTGTATGTGCGTATGAGTCACTGACGTGATTCAAAACTGTAAAGCTTTTGCAAAATAAAGAAAACTGCTTTCCTTTCCGTGAACTTCGGAGCGCGTTACAAACTCAGCACAATTTTTTCTTTTGTTTTGTTAATCTGTTAATGATTTAAGTGAAATATATTTAGTGTATAGGCCTATATATTCCTTTTTATGTAGCCTATATAGTTTTATTCCATTTTCTCCGTTCACAGAAACGCTGCAGGTGCGTGATGTGACCTTGTGTGAATCCGTGTTCTACACTGGTTTCAAACAAAAAGCTGCATATTACCTGCCATTCATTTTCACTTAAATGTAGGCCTAATGCTTAATTGGCCTGATGCTTAATATCCTCAGATAAACTAACTCCGGTGCATTGCCATTGCGACTTAACGTTACCTATGATGAATTTACAGCTGAGCGCGGGCGTTTCACTGGTTGGATGCGTCAGCGTCACATTTGCATATGGCCGTACTATGCTGTCTGACAAACTATATTTTGTACAGCTTTTATTTTGTTTTGCAAGCATTTAATTATTTTGCCCAGAGAACAACTAGTTGTCGCCATGCAGTTAATTAGTAAACCATCGGTATCAGCCCTTTTCATGCTATTTCCGATATGCCGATGGCTTTAAAATAATAAAAAATCGGCCGATAAATATCGGCGGCCGATGTACTAACCCCTACAGAGACCAACTCTGTTCTACATGTTAACACTACTAGACTAATCACATTGAAGGACCAGAACTAGCTGCTGTATAAAATGGTTTAAAACTCTGCAGACTGAGAGCTTTTTACACATGCAATGCTCCAGATGTTAGAAGTTCATTGCCCATCATCAGTGTCAACACACCTAACGTCATTCCTGTATGTTCACAGGGGGCTTTGCCCTGCAGTCTTACAAGGGAGCTCAGAAACCCACCCCTACTTCAAAGTGGACTGTCGTCTCATTTTGGTCCTCTTGTTGCGAAAGCCTCTCAGTCCATCTTCCTCCATGCTTTCTTTCAGCGAGATTCCATTTACATGCATTCATTTGTCTTGAGTACTTGCTGCTGCATGCATGAGCAGCAAAGTGCTACTTAAAGATCTTAAAAACAGTCAGTCGGACACCATGCATTGTTCTTTTCTGTAGAGATAGTCGCGTGTTGCTTCTAAAGCATGCAGGAAACCTTAATGAAAGTTCTTCTGTATTCCAGCGCTCCAATCCACATGCTGCCTACCAGAACCCAGGACCAAGCACATCATTGCCCCAAAGCAGCATGGGATACTCCTCTACCTCCCAGCAGCCTCCACAGTACTCACACCAGACCCACCGCTACTGAGTCAGGCCACGCCCACCTCTCACAGTGCCCAATAGGGAGAATGTACTTAGGGAGGCGGGTGTGGACCTGAGCCGAACCGCCCCACCCACTGGCTTTACTGTGCAGCATTTCCACCGCAGGAACAGTAACTGTAACCTAACAACACATCACCGTATCATACAGCCGACATTATCCTCCGCTGACAAAAGGAGAAAGAAAAAAAAGAAAGAAATAGACTCTAAGTGAAAACAAATGAAAAAAGGTGATGAAAAGCGGATATTTGTTCCATTGGTGATAGTTCAAGTCTTCGCTGCAAGTCTGTGATACTTCACGAAAAAGAAAAACACAAAAAAAGCAACAAACATTCTCAATATGTGGTACTGAACAGCTGCACTATGTAGTGAGACTGGTTTGGAGTGAGGTGGAGATCCACCGTACCATCCAATCTCTTTAGCCCCAGTCCTTCTTGCCCTCACTTTTGAAATCCGTTGGCCTCTCCAAGACTTAAAGCTGCTATGTGACTGCCAGCAAAGACAGAATGACGTATGTCAGTCTGTCTGTCTCTCCGTCTGCCCTTATACACACACACACTAACTCTCACACACACACACACACTCACACACATGCATACAAATACTGAAGCACTCACTCTTTTAGCCCATTGCTGGGGACCGAATTCTCTGTGCTGGAGCTGCTGACTGAAGCATAATGAGAACCTCTAGTGCCCCCTGCTGGATCATACTGGTAGAAGGCGGTATAAAAGAAACAACAAACTTGATTTTAGTAGTTAATAATTTAATGTTTTGGTTTTACATTAGGAGAGGTCAGCAACTTCCATTTTGCTGTCAGACCGGCTGTTATGCGTGAAAGATCTCCTTAGAACTTCATGACAAACGTTGTGTGGACAGCAGATTGAACATGCATTGTACTGTATTGTAATGAAATATTTTACATGAAACAAATATCCTGACAATAAAAGTGGAAGCGTTTAAAAAAAAAAAAAAAAGGGAAAAGTTTTTATTGTTTTGTTTGACTGTAGGCCAATTAGTATACTTCCTATTCTGAGCAAGCTCTTGGAGAAGATTATTTTTAAGCAAATTTTACAATATTTTAGAATTAATGGATTACTTACTAATGCACAACATGCTTACAGACCAGGACCCTCCACAAGTACCGCTCTTATACACATGACAGATGAATGGTTAGCATGTCTAGATGATAAGAAATTGGTCGGTGCTGTTTTATTAGACTATACAGTAGCTTTTGATGTTATTGACCATGATATTCTTATTGCTAAACTAAAATGTCATGGTTTTTCACTTACAGCTCTTGATTGGATTGGAAGTTATCTTTCTAATAGAAGACAGACAGTGTTTTATAATGGTTCTTTCTCAGAGGCTAAAAATACCTATTGTGGTGTTCCACAAGGGAGTTGTTTAGGTCCATTACTGTTCTCTATCTTTATAAATGATTTACCATATGTTGTTGATAAGGCAAATATAGTTATGCATGCTGATGATTCTACAATGTTTTCTGGGTCAATATCACTGTAGGGTGCCTTTTGGTGTCCTGTACATAACTCATTTGCCATAATAACGTAACATAAAAATGACTATGAAAGAATGTGTTATATTAGGCTAAGTTTTTAGATTCATAACAAAAGCATTATTTGGCTCTTTAGATACAATTTCTAGATTTTAAAAAAAAAGTTTTTTTATAAGAGGATGCTTGCCCATGCACTGCTCGTTACATTTGAATGAGAGTAGAATATAGTCAAATCATAAAATGAAAAAAATTTAAAAAAAAAAAAAAAATGGAAAAGCTTTTATTCGTGTGTTTGTGTGAGTGTTGACATGCATTTCCAGGCTGATAATACGTTGCGTTATTTATTTTAAATTAATTTTTAGCAGTTTAGTTGAGTCCATTTTCATTAGGAATTATGGCTGTTATGTTTCTTTATTTTGCGTTGTCTTTATTTTTTCCTTATTGAATGCATGATATTTATACTTTATGAAGAAAAATCTTTGAGGTTATTTCACTGGTGTACAGCAGTAGTGCATTTGAAGCTATTATTCGATATATTTATCGAATAATAGCTATTAATAATTATATATAAATAATAATAATAATTTAGCTATTATATTAGATTTTTGTAAAAGCTTTATAGTAGTGCTAGCTTGGCCAGGAACGATCGTTTTCTGCCTGTTGCTATTTTAGTTTATTACTAGGTCTGTTACAAAGGACTATTATATTGTGGTGTGTTACTGTTTATAACAATGATTACATAAACATCCTGACTTACTGTTAAATGAGATAATTAATGGCTCAGACTGCTCTAAATGTAATCGCCACATTGCACGTTCCCATGATTTTTAATAGGGCTTATAAGTCCCATATTTAATCTATTTCTTGATTCTCTATAGTAAAACTAGTCTCCCTTAAAATTATTTTGGCCTGTCTTGGCCTTCTTGACTAGATCCAATTTTAGTTCATTTAAATTTATTGAATTGATATTTGATTACAGTAGTAATTGTTAAACTATTTTATTAACTAATTTTACATTTTAAATTGTAAAAATTTAAAATGTAAATTTGCTGAATGACATCTTGAATTGGACTAAATCTTCAGTTCTGTGACCCAATGTTTAAAATTATTTTATTATTATTATTTTATAAATTTTTAAAGTTTTATTTATTTGAATGTTTATTGCTCCAAGCCACATGAATCAGGGTTTTAAAATATGTTCAGACATATTGTCCTAGTTTTGGTAGCAATCAATCAACATTTTCAATCAACACTTCCCCCACCACCCACATGGTTCCTGGACCTTGCTGTCCCTCGCCCTATTTTATACCCTATTCATAGAAAGTGCCAATTACCAAACGTTTGTTAAAATGCTGTTTAGGGTGTTTTCAATTATATTTTTGCTTGTATAAAAAGTAGCCTTAGTTTTATTAAGTATTTTAGCTGTGGTGTGTTTAAAGCCCACCTAATAGCACCAGATAGAGCCCGCCCTCACACAGCCGCCCTATCGTTTAATGACCGGAAAATCTCTGTCAATCATCCTCAGCTTCTCATCTGATAGGCTGAGTGTGACAAATGGTGGCGCGTTGAATTCCTATTCTAAAATGCTGATTGGTGCGAACAACCCAATAAGCCCCGCCCCAAGCGGATTGTTTGGAATGGTCAGATGGACCGATGGAGACACAGGATGGCAATCCGGACCGCTGAAAGCCTGGGCATGTGAGCGAATATATTTTTCAACAAAATTCACTTTAGGTAAGCATCAGACAGTTACTTATTTTCGCTAATGTAGTTATTTTGTCATATTGCACTTGTTATATTTGCTGTTTTATCGCGCTTTATATAATAAACGGAACATGAGGTTTGCGTTTCTTTAGTGGGCAGTTTATTTTGATTCTTGTTTTTTATTTTTAATTAATGGCGAGATTATGTTGATGATATAATTGTTGATGTTTTATTTTAATTTGTTGTTTATTCTGTTATATTAATCATAACGTTGCTATAGTGTACAATAACAAGCGTGCGTTGCGTGCCTTATAAATTTAGAATATGTCCTCCTAAGAATAATAAATCAGAAAAAGTTTCTATATCAGATCAACATAATCACTTACGACTGAAAGTGCTGTTTCAGTAAACTGTTATCAAAGAATATAACACATAACAGAATTCCGCAACTTAAAATTTTTAAGTGTTTAGTAATTAACAAACCCTAAAAACTTAAAGAATTCAACCCGAGAGTGTTCAAATAATATACACATATAGTGATTTAAGATAAGTCCTCGCTCACGCACGGAAGTCTCAGAGCAACTGGCTCGTGACATTCATGTGTGACGTGATCCGTACTGAAATATTAATGTAGTCTTACGCGCAGAGATGCGCTTTACTTCAGTTATGAATAGCTAATGCGTTGCCATCCAGTCTTTTCTGCGTTTCAAACAGCGTTTAGAGAGTGTATGCGTGTCTCCCTCGTTAGTTTGGACAGGATGTGGCCTCCTGTGGTCACGGGATGGGTCCGATGGACTTAAAAGCCTGTCAGCAGCACTGATGGGGCTGTAAACAGCTGTGTTGCACACTAATTATTTGTATGTTTACATGTTATTCCAGCATCTCAAAGTGTCTGCTTCTGGTTATACACTCTTTTGCGCATTATTTGAAGATGGTAGGTTGCATTTTGTCTGTCTGAAGTGCTCTTTATGTGTGTGGTTTTTGCAGTAGGCACAGACTTATGGAAAAAGAGGGCCACTGAAAAGGAGAGAGAGGCAGGAGTGCTTCTTTTATTTGAAGAAGAGAGAGGGGTGGGGTTGGTGGAGGGAAAAGAACATGCATGGGAGAGCTCCTCTGTTGCCCTGTGAACGGAGGGCTATTGTCCCGGGAACCTTTCAGAGTGGCTTCCCTGAGGTCCCCTGCCACTCGCCCTCCCCCATCATTTCTCCCTCTCATACTTTTCCCTCCTCATTCACTCTTCTTTCTGGATCGCTTAAGTACGTTTTCTGTTGTTCCCAGCCAGAACAGTTCACTTTCTTGTCTAACTATCTCACAAACTGCTTTTCGTGCCACTCAGACTCACATTCCCATTTCTTTGTCTCCTCTGTGTCTCTGGCCCCCCTCCCGGCGCAGTCTTAATTCAATGCACTATGTAATTAGTGTGGGTTGTGTCCATACTGCCGTGCGCTGCAGAATTACAATGCCGTAGAGAGTTGGTGTGCTTAATGAACATATTACAACACTCACAGACATTTACCTCATTAGACTACAACAACAGTAGTGTCTTAGTGCATGTGTGAGGCCTGATAATGGCATATTTGCAGTGAAGTTCAGGTCTCATTAGGTGGTAGCTTGAGGCAGTTTGTTTATCGTTTTCACTTTTAAATGGGAAGTGGACAGGTTTGGCAGGCGGTGTGTAAGAACAATGGACTTGGTGACCACTTGCATGATGTTACTATGGTAAATGGCAACAAACTACAGTTCTTATAAATGTATTACACAACTGTTGTTCAGTTTCTGCGTGTGTTATGTGCAGGTCCACGTGAAATAAACCGTCCATAGAATTTAAATACCCATCATTCACAGTGTTGCGTGAATGTTTATTAAATGTTTTGGCTAATTTAATAATACATTTAGCCTATTTGCCTTTGAGATATATGTGACCATGTGTGAATCTAATTTATGTAATTCCGCAAATTTGGCCATATTTAAATAAATTTTGTGGAATTCAGTCATTCTCAGTGTTGCATTTATGTTTGTTAAATTTTTGACCAGTTCGTTAATGCTTTAAGCAGCCTTTCAGCTGCATTTAACACATTTTACC